CAACTCTACATAATTTGATTATACGAACCATCCTCCAATCCTTGGATATGCAAATGCAGCATCAAAATGATTTTTTTCCATATTTTGATAGAATTTGATGTTCCTGGCAGTGATAAAATGTGACAGATTGCAGCAGGGCACTGGTGACCTGTTCATCTGGTGCACTGAGGCCGTTCAGATTTTAAATGACTGCTTTTGGAGAATCACCCTTAAGAATAAAAATTTGGAAGCCAAAGACAGGCCAGGGATTGGGGTTTGGAGTCAAAATGCCTTGGATCTAATCCCAGGGCCACCAAGATGCTGAATCTATGAATTAAACTCTCTGACCCTCAGTCTTCCCATCTGTAAAACGGGGGTAGGAAGAAATGTTAGAAGCGTCAGCACTCGGAGTGAAGACAGCTGGCAGAACACAGAGATGACCCTCATACGGTGGCCGTCATTGCTCCACTCCTACTACGACTCTGACTGTCACTGACAACTGGGCTATTCGTTTGGCGAAGCTACTCTTCAGGCAGGTATCAACTGATGTAGGGATGCTGCGAATGTGCCAATGGCCGAGCTGTGTAGTGATCTTGGAGGACAGGGTAATTGGGAGGCTTCTTGGAGGACTTATCACCAGAAAGTACCAGCCTGGAATGACAGATTGTGCATTCACTCAACATCTCCTCAGCTCCCTCTGTGGATGAGCTACTGTGCTAAGGGCTGAGCATTTAAGAATATAGATTTGGAGGGATCATCGTAGACCTCTAGGAATTCACAATCTAATAAACTCCCAGCAGTCAAGAAACTCCAAGAGATTGAGGGGTAGTGGGAGACAAACAAACAACTGCACAGCCATGGAGTAAGTGCCAAATGGGGGTGCAAGTTTGTAAGGGTCAGTGATCAGCAGAGAGAGAGGAAAACTCACTCTGCTCAGGGGAGATACAGAGGGCTTCATGGTACAGCTGAGGTTTGGGCTGAGGCACAAAAGAGGTTTGCTAGACAGACAGTGTCAAGAAAGCCCATTCCTGTTAGAGCAGTGGTTATTGATGGGGTTGATCTTGCTCCCGGGGGACATTTGGCAAGATCTGGAGACATTTTTGACTGTCATGACTTGGGGGCGTCAGGGTCCTTGGGGAGAAGCCAGCTAGGGATGCTGCTACAGTGTATGGGACAGCCCCCCACAATAGAGGATCATCCAGCCCGAAATGTCAACAGGGCCCAGGGTGCGCCTCCCTGAGCTCAGAGAGCCAGGAGGGCAAGCACATGGGGGCAGGAGATCACCCAGTAGAAATCCCAGGTGATTTAGCATGGCCTCGTGCCCTTATGGGAGAGGGAGAGGAGTCTGGAGGTGGTCAAATTGGGAATAACCTTGTAGGTCATCATGAGCTAAGTTTGGTCCTGTTTTTGTGCTCCTTATACTTCCCCTAAAGTAGCCCCAATGTTAGAGGGAACCCAACTCAGTCCGCCATGTTGGGAAACAATCCCCTGAAAGAGCCCAAGTTCCTGTGTTATCTTAAATTTTGCTTCTCTTCATAATTAAAATGAAAAAAAAAATAATGATATGCTCTTTTTCCCCTACAAGTTGAAGATCAGTACTTGAGGTAGAGCAGCATGTATGTGAATCCAGGATGAGATGCTGAAATGAGCAGGGCAGGCCCTGGAGAATTCTGAACAAGGGGATGGCACAAGCTGACGTGTGGGTTTGAGTCCTCTGTCACACAGGACCTCATAAAAGCGGGCCAGCTTAGCGGTGCTGACAAAACCCACCTCCCCAGAGGCCTGGTTCCTGATCTGGTGCCTTTGAGACCCAAGGTCACAGCTAATTTTGAACTGTCTGCCGACAGCAGTGGGATCAGAGGATCAGGCTCCGGTAGGAGAAGGAAGACCAGGAGGTTCTACAGGCTCTGACTCGGCTACTCATTAGCTGTGTGACCCCGAGAAAATCACGTCACCTCTCTGGCCTCAGGTGGCAAGTATAAGCTGCTTGAGAAGAGCTTGTGGGCTCCCGGCCTCATGCTCCACACCTCCCGGAGCAGGGGAAGTCTTCCTGCTAGGTGCTTACCCACTGCTGTGTTCTGGAAGGTCGGCTGCGTCCTGGCTGGCCCCTGCACACCGAACGCGGCGCCACGTTGCGTTTAGGGGAGGTCCCGTGGAGTTTCGCAGCAGTGAGTTTAACTTTCCACTTTCGTAACTTCATTCCTTGGGGTCTTGAGAATTCTTTGGCCTTCAAGAGTCCCTTCGTGTTATACAAATCTCCTGAATCCCCATCAGCTGACATCTTAGGCATCAGAGAACCCTTCTGTGCATCTTAACAAGAATGAGACTGGGGAGGGCAGGAGAGAGAGGCTCGTGGGCATTACAAGAGCATAAATACTGGTAATGTTCTTTCCGACATGTTTACTCACCTGTTTGGGTAAAGCGTTTTGTCTCTGGGCCACAGAGCACTTTACAGAATTGGGAATGGATTGTTCCTACCTGCCTCTAGGGCCGCCGGCGAACAAAGGGCGCAGGTACCGAGCTAGGACGGGGGCAGGACCCAGCACCTTCTTACCTGGGGGTCACAGGGCTCAAACGTCTCCCCCCCCCCCCCGCCCCGTCATCCATGTCGCAGACTTGAGCAAGTCCTTTGCCCGTCCGATCGGTACCCTCATCTGAGAGCTAAGAAGCTGAAGTGTGGCCCTTCAACAACTTTGGCTGCAAACCTATATGACGATGAGGGGTGAGCCCGTGGCCCCCAGCCCGCCTTGCAGCACAAACCAGGGAATGTAACTCCAGTGAGCAGGTAGACGTCTGGGCAGGTGGAGACGGGAAGCTAAGGGCTTCTCTGTGGATGTCTCTGGGTGGACAGTGTGGCCGCTGTTCAATAAGTGATCGATGAGGAAAAAGAATGGCTCCAAATCCAACACTGCCCGAGTGAAGGGAGCGAACCAGAGAGCCACGGGTGGGGGTGGGTGGCGGGTTCCCAAGAGGAGGAGGCCAGAGTGAGAGCAGAGAATTCAAGCCCTGCAGGGGTTTCTTGGAGCTCAGGCAGCAAATCCCAGTGTGGTTGGGGAAGCCAGACCTAGAATGCCCCCTTGCCTCACAAGGGCTTATAAAATACATTCTTCCCTTTCCACCCTCATTTTACTGGAGTTATTCAAGAAGGACATCGTCATGGGGCGCCGGCGTGGCTCAGTTGGTTAAGCGTTTGACTTCGGCTCAGGTCACCATCTCCCGGTTTATGAGTTCGAGCCCCGCGTCGGGCTCTGCGCTGACAGCTCGGACCCTGGAGCCTGCTTCGGATTCCGTGTCTCCCTCGCTCTCTGCCCCTCCCCTGCGTGTGCTCTCTCTCTCTCAAAAATAATAAATAAATAAACATTTAAAAAAACAAAAGGAATGACGTAGTCATAACATGGGCGATTTTCAAAGGCAGTCCATGTGACCCGAGGGTGCGGCTGTAGGACGTTTGTATGTGGACGAGCTCCTCGAGCGTCACCTCCCCCGCCCCCCTCTGTGGATCCATCTGTTGGTTGGTCCTGCATCCCCAACCTCAGGGTAACCCCTGCTGGACCTGCTGGACGATCCGGGATGATCCCTCTCACGGGCAGGAAGCCGGAGGCCCACGTCCGTCGGGGATGCTGGATCCGGAGGGAGACAGAAGTAGAGGTGGTCAGGCCCGGGCTCCGACTGAACTGATGCCCTGGAAACCTCCAGGAGGTCAGAGGCATATTGACAGGTTTTTATCATTTTTGAGCATTCAACACTTAAGTTGGTTGTATATGAAATATTCATAAATTGGCCCAATTCCACATTTTTATTGATGGATGCAGAGAAATCCACATCTCGGCAATACAAGTCGCGGATACCATAAGAAGGATATGTTTTTGAGAATCGTCTTTGCTGAGCTATCAGATGGCATCTCATCCCTGTGGGCTGTCACCCCACCCGCTCCTGAGAACGAAGCCCACATGGCACCCCCCCGGCTCGCCCGGGTTCCTGGACTGGAGCCGGGCTTGCTCTCTGGCGGGGGGGATGGGGGGGTGGGGGTGGGGGTTCAAAGTGTTAAACCCCCCACAGAGCCAGGAGGTCCAGGGTTGAGTCCGGGTCCTGAGCCAGTCCTCAGGCCCCTGGCCAGCCCGTCCCAGCGGAGTTTGGTGCCTCCACATCTGGCAATCCCAGGCCTCAGTGCTGGTGCGGTGCCTCACCCGAGCCAAAGGGCGGCGTCTACATGCCCACGCTCGGCACTGTCCTGATGCCCCCACAGCCCTGTAAGGTGGCACCACCACTGCCCCATTTTCAGATGAGGACACGGAGGTGCTGGGTGGGTAAGAAGCACGCTAGGCCAAGTTCCAAACTCGGGCAGCCCTGCCCTGGAGTCCATGTCCCGAACCACGATGCCGGCCATTCCCCACGTGGTCTGGGACGAGCGGGACCCTGGGGCCCTTTCAGGGGATGGGTAAGGTCAGGACTGATTTCATAACAACACTAAGACGCTCTTGACCTTCACCCCTCTTCTCATAGGAGTGTGCAGTGAAGCCTTCCTGTGGCCGCCCCGGGTGTGGTGACATCATCTCTCTGACAGCTGATGGCAGGTGTGCTTGTGTTCTCGTGTCTTACGAAGTCTCAGCTTTAATTTCTTTCTTTTTTTTTAAAGATTTCTTAAAAGTTTACTTATTTTTGAGAGAGAGAGAGAGAGAGGGAGAGAGAGAATCGCAAGCAGGCTCCTTGCTGTCAGCCCAGAGCCTGATGTGGGGCTCGATCTCACGAACCATGAGATGATGAGCCGAAATCAAGAGTCAGATGCTTAACTGACTGAGACACCCAGGTGCCCCTCGGCTTTAATTTGTAATAAGTCACTATCGATAGACACAAGCCACTTATGTCTCTTTGGATTTCTCTTTAATTTTTGAGTCTCAAGAGTCCTTAGACAAAGTGGTTGGAGATGTGGTCTCTGGACCAGGCACTCCCAGCTGGCCGCATTGCTCCTGCTCTCTGGTCCCCCCTCCCCCTGTCCAGCACCGAAGCCACCCCAGCCCGCCTGTCACAGACCCCCGCTGGGGTGACTTCTCCAGCTCACAGCTGTCATGCCTGTACCATGGCTGACAACTCTCACACTTGATTGGAGCCCAATTCTCCTCTGGGAGAGAGCTCAGGCATTATCGGAGCAGCATATGTCCACGATGGAGTTCAAGAAAATGGCAGCATTCAACGACAACATCTGCTCCGGATTCTGTGTCGGTTCCAGAAGTGGATCATTGGCTCTTGTGTTAATTCTCTGAGCCACCCCAGTAACTGTCAAATATCTTCTTTATCACTTAAGGTTGTTTGAATAAACAGAAGCTGAACTAATAGGAAAAATGGAACATACCCTTCTTGGATCCCCCACTCCATCTGCTTATTATAAGCTACTAATTTACCTTTGGGCCCTGTCAACGGGCAAATCACTAGTCTCCTGCCTGGAACTGCCTGGGCCTTGCTCCCTGAGATCGCCATGCGCCCCCCCTCCCCGCCCCCGCCCAAACTGGCCAGAGTCAGCATGGCTGATTTCTCACCGGCAGCTTGCTGACTAGCAGTCCCTCAAAAGATATGTCCACATCCCAACCTCAGGAAGCTGTGAATGTGACCTTATTTGGAAAAAGGGTCTTTGCAGATGTAATTAAATGAAGGATCTTGAGGTGCGATCATCCTGGCTTACCGGGGTGGTTCTTAAATCCAGTGACAGGTATCCTTCCAAGACATACTCACAGGAAGGATGGAGGGAAGAGAAGAAGGCCATGTGAGGACAGGGGCAGGAGTCGGAGTGGTACAGCCACAAGCCAAGGAGCACCTGCAGCCCCCAGAGCTGGAAGAGGCCGAGAAGAGAATCTCGGTTAGAGGTTGAGGGGGCACAGCCCTGCTCACACCATGAATTTGGACTTTTGCCCTCCAGAACCGTGAGAAGCTAGATTTCTATTGTTTTAAACCACTAGGTTGTGGCCGTTTGTGACGGCAGCCCTGGAGTCCACCACCTTGGATGGAAAGCCTGTGATGTCAGGACTCCTGCTTGCTGACTGCCCTCTGATCCCAGGAGGGGCTTCCGGCACGTTGGCTGTTCCCCTGTCTCATCCAACTCACGATGGCCCTGTCCCCTACCTTCCCTACAGCCTGTGGGCAGAGAAGTCTCCTGTGTGTTGTGGGTCAACCGTGTCCGGGTCCCCTGCCTTTGCCCACACTCTGGAGTTGCTAATGATGACCACGGGTCTCCTTGGTCACTAAGACTATTTCAGTGTTTTACTGGCACAAAGATCACGACCTACCTGAGTTTCAGCAAAATGCAAGAGGAGTTTATTCTCTAGATGAATGGACCCCAAGGACCAGAAGCACAGTCAGGTCCTATGGAGGACCAAGAGCAGACAGTGATAAGCCTTCAGAAGCCAGGCAGTCACTTGACAGCTTATCAAAGTTTCTTCTGTTCTTTTCATTTCTCGCTCTGTAACCCGGCTCTCCCTGCCTCTGAAATAGCTCAGGAAGGCCACCCACCTGCCTAACATCAGTTCCAGCTTCCTGATTTGCCTCACCTCGGTCAAGGTTGCTGCAGAGAGTGGGCACCTCTAGTTCCAATTGTAAATTCTTGGGAGAGATAAGTAATTGGGAGACACCCCTGGCTAAGGCCAAATGGGTAGAACCAGGCCGTCCAAGCGTGGCTAATGGGCCCCACTGGGGCAGCGTGGAGGGGTTCTCAGAGAAGAGGCCTAGGGTTTGTTGGTCATTGCTAAGTGGTGAGGGCCCTGGCTCAGGCAGGAGGAGCAGCCCTTGAAAGAAAGGCCACACCAAGGCCCTCTTGCCTTGAACTTGTGCACACGCCCAAGGCTGAGCTTGAGTATGCGCCCTCCATTTGCTCTCTCAGTGTGGCCTTTCCCAGCCCTTCTTTCCAGTTGTCCCCAGGGGACACGTATACAATACATTGCTGTTAAAAACATGACTCCCTCCAGCCCTGTGTGCTTCCAACACCCCCACGCTGAGCTGAGCATCTTTAAGGAAGCGTCTCCACTGCCTGGTGGGGACGTGCCCTCTGGTTCGTCCCTCCGGAACGTGTCCAGTTCTTCTCCATCTTTGTCCCACCAGACACGGGTGCTAATGGGGAAAATGCCAAAGTGCTGAACCCACCACACCCTCCCGCATCCCAGGCGGTGGGGACCTCACTTCGGGATGATTACTAAGTACACATGCTAAAGACTCGCTTTCGTACCCGCTCCATAGACGCACGAAGGAGGTCAGAACTCAGGTCTTGCCTTAGTTGACCAGAGGTCACGGAGGTGGATGTTCCCTGATGGGGACCCTTCAGAAAACGGTGTTCTGTTTTTGTGCACGGGTGTATGTGGGTAGCTAAACATGCAGCAGAAAAATGAGTGTCCAATTTCCAAAGAAGTGAGAGAAGGAAAACTAGTAAATGGGGTAATGGGAAACACCGTGCGGGTGGGACTGGTGAATTCCCACCGCCTGCCGTCGCTGGGGTCATGGCCTGCTGCCCCCGTGTAAAGGACCTCGAGAGTGCCTCCCCAGCAAAGGGCAGAGCACCCTGTTAGGTCTGCAAATGAATAATAATGAACCCCAGGCTTAGTCCTGGTTGGATAAGGATAAATAAAATTAAAATTCGGAAATTTGTTTTAAATGGGTTGCTAATTGCTGTTGAGCTTTAAATATTTGAGTTTATTAATTTCTCCCTCACCCCCTGAATTATATTTCGGCAGCAGTCCCCTGTTATTAGGCTATTAAATCAGACATATCAAAAAGGGAAGCATTTATTTATATCTTCAGAGACATGTACATCTAATTAAGACCGTGTTACCGTGCATATTTTAGATCAGGCAAACGCTGTCTGTGATCTCAGCCTCATCACTCTGAAGGGCCTTCGTGAGTGTTTGGGAGATCTGACTCGAGCTGGATGAGGAAGACGCCCTGTACCTTTCTGAGCAGTGATTTTGGAAGAAACTTCATCCCGAAATAAGTGGCTGCTCCCAGATGTCATAAAGCCCCTTCGTAAGGTTAAAGAATCCAAAATGGCAACTAACAGAAAACCAGAGATTCGGAAACTGGCCACACTGCCGGAATGTTCCTGTGTTCATAAAAACGGTGAAACTAGCTCACATTTAGAAAGCACCTACTGGGTGCTCCAAATTCCTAATGAATATGCATTAGCTCATGGAATGCTCACAACAACTCAGGGAGGGAGACAATATTTTTATCTCCATTTTACAGATGAGTAAAACAGAGGTAGAAGAAGATTAGGTCATTTGCCTGAGAGGCAGAGGCAGGACTCAACCTAAAGCCTGACTGACTAGAACCCACGCTTTTTCCCCTCGGTCTCTTTTCATAGTCAAGAAGAATTCATCCAGTCTAGAACTTTCTCAGCCAAGGTGATATCATCCTTCTTCTGACAAGGTGATGAAAATTGGTTCGGGGGTGGGGGTGGGGGGCAAAAATCACATTATTTTTATGTATGAAGCACAGATAAACATATAGTACGTAAACAGCTGAGCAGTATTTCTGTGATGCTAGAACTTCTCTGGTGAGGGCATTTTGGAAGAAACGTCTGAAAAGACATCTTAGGGGGAAAGTCCATGAAAAAGGTTGAGAAATACTGTTGTACAGCAACTGCAGGAATGCCCCCTACCAATTACTCACTTGTCCTTAGGTACAGCGATAGTGTCACTGGCCTGCACTCCTATGGCTCCTGTCTTATTTTTACAGCTCAGATAGACTGGACGTGAGCTAACACCGCGGGCTTCCTGTAATGGGAGGGCCCAAGCACCAGTGTCAGATTGCACATTTCATTTGGCTGGGACAAGTTTCTTATGTGAGGAACTTTCGCCAAAAAAACAGTGGACTCCCGTTTCCAAAGGACTATCAAGTTCTGCATGGGAAGACGTTCCAAATCGTGGGATGGTCATTTCATGATCTGGGGGCTTCTTTGGCTCAAGATTCCTGATTCTTTTTCCCATAACGTTGGACAGGAAGCTAGTGAAGGAAGTATGAGTTGGGTTATATCAGAAAGGCTCAGGGCGAGACATCTATCTCAAAGAATCTCCATTGTTAAAGCCAGATTCTTACTGTATGGCAAGTACTTTACCCATATTTTACTCGAGACTCGTACTGTCCAATATGGAGGCCAGTAGTCACATGTAGCTATTTAAAATTCAATTCATCGGGGCGCCTGGGTGGCGCAGTCGGTTAAGCGTCCGACTTCAGCCAGGTCACGATCTCGCGGTCCGTGAGTTCGAGCCCCGCGTCGGGCTCTGGGCTGATGGCTCGGAGCCTGGAGCCTGCTTCCGATTCTGTGTCTCCCTCTCTCTCTGCCCCTCCCCCGTTCATGCTCTGTCTCTCTCTGTCCCAAAAATAAATAAACATTGAAAAAAAAAATTTATAGAATTCAATTCATCGAGGGGCTCCTGGGTGTCTCAGCTGGTTCAACATCTGACTCTTGACTTCGGCTCAGGTCACGATCTCACAGTCCGTGAGTTCGAGCCCCACGTTGGACCTTGTGCTGACAGTGCGGATCCTGCATGAGATTCTCTCTCTCCCTCTCACTCTCTCTGCCCCTCCCCTGCTTGCACTCTCTCTCTCAAAATAAATGAATGAAAGCATTTTTAAAAATTTAAAGAAATTCATTAAAATGAAATAAAATTCAGTATTTAGTTCTTCAGCCACACTAGCCACATTTCAAGTGCTCAATAGCCACATGTGGTTACCAGTTGGACAATAGAGATGAACAAACATTTCGATTCACCGAAGAAAATTCTACTGGACAGTGTTGTGTTAGAGACAGTAAACACCAAGAAGAAGACAGGACACTGGCCAACAAAGGGCGGTTACTTTTCATTTAACAAATTTTCAGTGACAACCACCTTTGTGCAGGTCTTATTCTAAGCACAAGAAAAGATCTATAATCAAACCAAAGTTTCTACACTTGAGGAAGCTATTATTGCTATTATTTTTACTGCAGGCTTTTGTTATTTCCTAGTGAGTGGGTAATAGAGTGGTAGTGTTTAAAAATATTAGTGAGGAGTCGGAGCAACATGACCTTGATCTGAGCAGAGTGACAGAAGTAAATTTGCTTATTCTCTCTGAGACTTAGTTTCCTCATCTGTAAAATGGGTATACTAATAACTTCACAGGCTTGCTTTGAAGGTTAAATAAGGAAATGGATGTAGAGGGTTTAATACAATGTCTGGTATGGTAGGTGCTCAATAAATTAGCGCTTTCCTTGTTAAGATAAAAATCTGTTCTAATTTGTTCTAATCTGGTTTGGTCACATTATAGAGGATGGGGTTTATTGGTTTGTTACTCAGGATCTATTTTAGGACATTCCTAGCGGTAACCTGACAAAATAATACTAAAGACATGCTCAAGGTGCCTCTGGAATCCACTCTTTAGTTCACATTTGAGAATCCACTGCTCACATAATAATCTTAACAACGTTCTTGTTGGTCTTGGTTGCTGTAATTACAGAATGTCGGAGCTTGAAGAGATCAGAAAAAACATAATTGAATTCGGGTATCATAAAGGTAAGGAAAGTGAAATGCTGGGCAGTGATGTGCCCAAGGTCACAGCTCTGCAGAGGCAAACAGACTAGAACGTGAGTCTCTAATCTCTAATCATCCACTACAGCGTGCTCAGCATTTCAGCAAATGTCCTTGGACCCCTGTCTCCGCCTCCCCAAAGAAAGTTACAATCAACACTTGACCATCCCTCAGGCAGGAAGTCTCCTCATCTTGGGACAATGAGGTGGCTGTTCACTCAAACTAACACAGCGTTTTGGGGTGCCTGGGTGGCTCAGTCGGTTGAACGTCTGACTTCAGCTCAGGTCATGATCTCACAGTTTGTAGGTTCGAGCCCCATGTCAGGCTCTGTGCTGACAGCTCAGAGCCTGGAGCCTGCTTCGGATTCTGTGTCTCCCTCTTTCTCTGACCCTCTCCTGCTCGTGCTCTGTCTCTCAAAAATAAACACTTAAAGAATTAGACAAAACAAAACAAAACCAAAAAAACTAACACAGCGTTTGAAGCCCAGAGAGTGCTGGAGATGTGCTTGGTGACAGTTGCCCCAACCCCCACAGCAGCCCAGGTGGTTGGTGGCAGAGGGGCAGTTTTACCTTGCCTCGTTTTGGGTGCTGCGGTGTGCATTTATTGTCCCTGCATCACCTCTCGATTCTCTCTCCGAAACTATAAGGCTGGGGGGAAGGCGCTCCTCCCCACCCCCTTGATGTTGAGGTTCTGAGTGCCAAGAATCATCTACAAGGACATATGTGGGAGTCACTCCTTTGTTCTGGTCACTGTCTGGAAAAGAATCTTGTGCTTTCGGCCATTTTAAGTGACAAGTTCAAATTCTAGATAGAAAGAATTCGTGTTTAAGAGAAATTGCACATATGAATCCTTGGATACAAAGCAGGGAATATAATCCTCAGCCAGGTATGAACTTGCCCACCAGGAAATGAGGGGTTTTATGAAAGTGATCAGTTTAATCGGTGTGAGTTTGTGAATAAAGGGTTTTTTGTGTGTGGTTTTTTTTTTTTTTTTGTGGAAAGGACTTTTTCTTATTTTCTTGTCCTCCAGAGTCCCAAAATGTTTATACTCCCACGAGAAAACCCAGGGAATGAAAATTACAGTGGACTCTGGATTATTCCTGGGCCACCTGGATGCTTCCAACTCTGGCTGCCAAGGTGGGTCTCCATAGCTCAGGCAGTGACGGAGGTTCGCTCTTTCTCTCTTTTCCTGACTTCCCCTCTGGCAGTGGGGTACGGGGAGAAGAGCTGAGCAGAGACAGGGACCTTTTCCCCAGAACTTGTGCATAAGGGGGATTCACCAGCATTCCAAAGCCAAATTAACGCAGGAAGAATAATTCAATCACCAAATGGTTGGATGACTACCCTGTGTGAATTGTGGATGGCCATGTGTGTTTGATTTTTTGTTATAAATGTTTTTCATTTATTATTATTTTTTATATAAGTTAAATTCTTGTATTTATTTCATTAAGTTTATTATTACTTTTTTTTTAGTAATCTCCATACCTGACTTGGGGCTTGAACTCACTACCCCGAGATCAAGAATTGCACGCTGTTTCAATGGAGTCAATCAGGCATGCCTGTTAAAAAAAATTTTTTTTAAAGAATTAAACCATCAAGTGGCACCCAGGTGGCTCAGTAAGTTGAGCGTCTGAATCTTGATTTTGGCTCAGGTCATGATCTTAGTATTGTGGGATCGAGCCCCATGTTGGGTTCTGTGCTGATTGTGGAGCCTGCTTGAGATCCTCTCTCCCTCTCCACCTCTGTCCCTCTCCCCTGCCCTCTCTCTCTCTCTCTCAAAGAAAAAAGAAAAAAGAATTAAACAATTCATGTGTGAGTAATAGGCACCAATATAGTTTTGCCATTGGATGAGACAAGTAAGCTGTTATAGATCAATGGCATTGTAGAAGTGATCAGATGACGCTCAGGGTTTGAAAAGTCTTCTTTTTTGGTCTCTAGGATATGATTGAATTTGCCAAAGAAAGCCTGGCCTTGCAATTGGATGCTGATTTAGATCATCATAAAGCGCTTGTATTTCCTTTGGAATCTTACAGCATTGGGCATGAACAAAAATGTCCCAACAGGAAGAGGAGGGAGGACAGGAAGTGTATGGATGCTTAGATAAGTATGGAAAGTGTCACAGAATCGCATACTGTCCTGTCCCCTCCACACCCATGGAGCGAGCAAGCAATCACAGACTCATTTGTCCGCACTGTGTGGCTTTCCTCTCTGCCTTAGCATCTTCAGCTGCTAGGGTTTTCCTCTGCACTCCAGGCGGGGTGCTCTGTCTGTGCTGTAGGGCTCCAGAGAAGTGGGGATTGCCTGCAATTTGGAGAAAGGTAACATGACTCAACCTGAAATTGCCTCTGTGTGTATCATCGCTTGTTTGGGGATTAGAATAACAGAAGAATCGAATTTCTTGCCCATCTGTGAAGAGCTTTTAAGTTAGAGTTAACTTGGAGGATCCCTGGGAACAGATGGAAGGATCTAGTAGATGAGCCAGCACGCTTCTGCCTGCCGCGTCTCCGGGGGCCTGGCTCCCTCCCGGGCCTGGCCAGCCTGCCAGCACAGCGCCTAGCTGACCTTTGACAGTGTGGTCTGCTGCACTTCGTCCCTCTCTTCATTCTTGGCTCGTTCTGTGGCCCAGCACCGCTCATTTTGGCTCCGTAACTCAGCTCCCAGTTTTCCAATAGTTACTTTAATTTATGACATGGTTTGGACACACTCGTTGGCCATGACCTTGGCCCTCAGCCCAGAATATTATTTTCAGCATTTACCCTCCAGCTCTCCCACTGCAGCCTTGGGCAGGAGATGCTCTGTCCTCTCACAGCCCCCACGGCCCCGGCCCAGGGGCACAGCGGCCAGGGCCGACCTATTCCAGTTCCCACCCCCAGTCCCGGTCAGGTGAGAGGTCCACACGGGAATGGGGCAGACTGATGAAGTTGGCTGAGGTTGCTGCTGTGTGTCCTACTTTTACAACAACATACCAGATTGCTTTCTCCTGGCGGCACCGAAGGTCACTGCAGTCATCCTGCAAAGTAACTTGGCACTCACTCCGGTTTTACCTTTGGGGAGACAAACATACACCCGTAGCGACTTGAGAAGACGCACAAAGCTACGTCTTTGAGAAGCGCCAACGGATACGCTCGGATCACATGTTCACGCAAACAAAGAAGCTCTTCTAAAGAGAGAGGGACAATAGTGTAAGATCTATCCTAGAGCAGTACATTCAACTTGGTCCTGAAGGATACGACGGACATATAGCATGGGTGCGCAGTAAAAACGAAGTGGAGATACATTCCCACTGGACAGTAGCCACATGAGCCACACAGAGAGGCTGGATCTAGCTGACACACCGGAGCAACGCAAGTACGGGCCGTGAGTCCCCACCGTAGGGCCACAAATGGTGCACACGATGGACCCAACCATTGACAAACAGAAGAGGCCCCTTGGCGGACAAGAATCACCAGAGAAAATTGTTCAGGAGTGGGAAAGTTCTACAAATAGACCCAAGTGGAATAGGGTCTATTCCACGAGCGTGATATCAACGAATTTCTATTTGTGTTGTTCCTCTACTGTTGTTTCTTCAGGTGATACTCTAAAACGCAGTCAGCTGTGTGCACATGATGAATAATGTATTTTGTAATTTACATTTTTCTAATTGAAAAAATTTCAGGAATAGCCCCAAGTAAATCGCATGCATGATTTAACAGGAGACGAATCAAATTTTAACCATGAAACAAACTCCAAAAGAGTGCTGTTCCCTAACAAAACAGAGTCAGAGAATGGTTCTAATCCTTGGTTCTGTAGTTTCGTGAGAACCTACCCCGGGGGGGGGGGGGTTTGCATCACAGGCACTGATCAAGGGCACGGGGAGAACCAGCATCAGGGAATCTACCTGCTACTGGTGTAGCACTTGAAACCGCTAAAGGCACATTTGAATCTATTCTGTAACTTGTTCCTCGCGTCCAATACAGAAGGCAGGAGTAGGTTTTGTCCGTCACTTGACAGAAAGCTTCACCCATTAGGCTAAGGTCACCTTCACCAGAGAATGGCAAGAAAGGCCAGCGCTCGTGCCAGCCTCCTGCACTTTTGTGAGCATTTGCCGCTCTGACTGCTTAGGACCTTGCCTCGTTTCTAGAAACACCACCCCATTTCTTGGGGACAACCGCTTCACTCTGACTCCAACCACTCCAACCACCTGGTTCAAATGGGAGCCACCAGGGCCATGTTCCCATCTGGGGCCCCTGACCTGACCTGAGCTGACTAGCGTCTTTTCTGGGGACTCTTCAACTGGGATCAGGCTTGGGATGAGGAGGTGGGCAATTTTAGGATAGGTTTTTTTTTTTCTTCCTCTTCTTATGGCAAAATTGTGAGATGCAGGGGGTGGTGTGGGGGCAGGGGCTGCTGGTGGCCTTGTGTCCTAGCCACGTGTAGGAAGATTGAGAAAACCAGAAACAGTATGCAGTGAGAAGAGGGAAAGTGTTGCTAGCATTTGAATGTCTGGTTCCAGTGGTTTTTGAGGCTCTGTGGCTTCTTTTCCATGGTTACTTGAGGCTTTCAATAAACACTTTTTTTTTATTTGCTTGAGCTACTTCAAGTCGAGTTTGTGTCCCTTAAAAACAAACAAACAAACAAACAAACAAACAAGAACAAGGGTCCTAACGAGTAGGTCTGTCCTCCATGACAGTCAGTGCCCTTTGTATTCGCCACGAACCTTTTATGAGTCACATTTGTCTACAAAGAAATATGGCCCAAAGTTAGGTAAGTTGCTCCAAATCTTATGTTGGGTTATTGGTGTAATTATGTCACTCACCAGTACGTGTTATTAGGACCTTATACATCTAATCAATAAAGCTTCATGTGTACTATCTACTTTGATTTCTATGTCAAGTCCTTGAAACAGATTGGAAAACCACGGTGAACCCCAATTTTAGATGAGAAAGCTGACGTTCATAAATGGTAGGGGACGACTTGCCTGCTTTCAGTCAGCGAGTGATGATGGGACAGGCTTGAACCCGTGTCTTCTGATGTAACAGTCAATGTTCCATACATTGTACACGCATACAGGTACATACTGTATACACATACATGTCTGAACATACATACAACACACATAGACATGCCTGCACAAGAAGGTCCATTTCAATTAAAAAAATGAAAATCAAATACAGCAAAACAACTGTCCTTCTTAGGATTAATATTTAAAGAGTGTTTTAAGATACCACTGCCCATAATTATTTGTACTTCTATTTTGTGCCAAAACATCGGTCTAGGACCCATCTCGCTCTCCTGTAGATCTAACTGGGATAAAACATTTTCCATTTTCTTGAGACTTGATAAAATATAAATAGCTTGTACTTTGTCTCTCTTGGTTTTGATAACTAATGAAATGTGAAAAAGCAAAAGATGACACATAAAAGAAAAGCAGAAGATAACTAATTTAGAGGTTAACATTGGAAAAGCTCCAAAATTAGATCGCGTAATTAGTTCACGGTTTAGAAGCCTTTGGTGGCATTAGATTTATGCAAACAAATTCCATTCACATAGTTTAGGAAGACTGAATGATTTTATAGATGAATCACGTTGAAAATGGAAGATTACATAATCCCTATTCCTTATTTTCTCTGTTATATCAACTAGTTTGAACAGTCAAGGAAATCCAAGAATGGACCTTAAATCGTTCACTAGAACAACTGATGGTGGACACTAACAGGGCAAAAAGAAGGCTACAACAAAGCTAAATGATAGCAAGTCTTTCAAAGGCATAAACATTCCTTGAAGGCAAGCAGCCAAGGTTGGTAGGCTCCAAATTTGATCTGCTCTGGTTTCCACGTCTTTATGCAATCCTGTACAGGGGTGAAAGGAGTAAGAGGCCAGTCTGGATCACTGGTTTTTAAGTTGTATTTTTGTTATTGTTGGTTCAGGAAATCCGACATACAAAATGGTCAAATGCTGTCATTGTATGGGTCAGGGACGGAAACCCAGAAGCCCAGGGCTCTTTGGTGGTCACTGGCCACGTGCAGCATTTATGACCCAATATTAGCTGCACTTAACCATATGCTTAAGCATTGATTACAGCAGTACAGTCGTTAACTGAAAACATGACTCAATGGGAATTCTTCCTTAGATTATGAAAACCCAGATTTCAGATTCAGCTATGTAGATCATTCAACAACTAACCAGTATAAACAAACCAGGCAATTGTGTTAAGCACACGCATCAACTATTAAAAAGAAAACGTTTTTTCTTCTCACTGAATTGACCGGTTGTTTGTCAGTATGGCCAAAACAAGACGATCATTTCATGGTGCGAATACTTCTTGGATAGTTTTTTCCCCCATTTACAAACCAGCTTTTTTTTTTTTTTCCCAGATGAGTCAGTACATGTACACACTGTCAGAGGACAGGGGAAGACAGGTCAGGGTAGTTTTGAATTTGGCATGTAGCCAATAAACTTTTCACTTCAATTTGGATTTCGGCTCCTCTGGGACACATGTGTCTCAGGGCAGGGCAGTAACAGTTTTCGGTTGGAAAAATATCACGATGTGTACCAGCAGCCTCTCCCCAGGCTTCCCTGGAAACAGCTGGGGGCTGGTCTGCCTGTGCCTCTCATGTTTGAGAACTGTGTGCAAACATTCTGAAATAGGCAGCATTTTTAAACTTTGCATGAGTTGGGTGAAGGTTTCAAGGATCAAATATTTGAAAATGTTTGAGAAACAAAAATGATGCCATGAGATAAACCCTTGAGAAAAATGATACTGAATGTAAAACTGTCATTTCTAATATTTCAGTTCTGAGGCAAGACTTCATATAGATACTCTCATTTGTTCCTTGCTGTGCATTAATACAGATTCAGATCAGTTCGGGTGTGAGATAAGATGATGTTCTGCAATGCTTTTGTTTGCATGAAACCCTATGGTAATGAGGTCGCACTAGAAAAAGCAGAGTTTAGATAAAAGAGGAGGTCTACAAGTTTTTGAGAGTGTAAGCAAATGCTAAGTGTTACCTACATTTTGGGTGAGTTTGGTTGTATTTCAAAAAGCCAATGAGAAATTATAAACTGTTTTCAGAAATGTATATACATCTATATTTGTTCAAATTAATTAAAACTTTCCAGTTTTGTCTACGTCTCTCAAAATGTGACCACTTCCTGACATGCTCTATTTTAATGTCAGGAGAGACACTGTCTTAAGAGTATGGGCATAGTTTTTCCATCTATCCTTGGACCCAAGTACTTCTGTGACACTGGAGTAGGTTTCCCTGAAGTTCCTACAAGGGACACTGAACCAATAAGACACCAAGAAATTTGCTGACCAGGGACAAACATTTTTTCTTAACAAATTTCGTTGCTAATTTCTTATTAGATAACTAATTCATGCTTATTATAGAAAATAGAGCTAGGAAAAAAATAATAAAATAAAATATTAAGTAATAAAATGCAATTTCTTTCTTCTAAATCCTCATTAGAAATAATAATATTGATGGGGCACCTGGGTGGCTCAGTCGGTTAAGTGTCCAACTCTGGGTTTTGGCTCAGGTCGTGATCTCATGGTTTGTGAGCTCGAGCCCCACACCGGGCTCACGCTGACAGTGCGGAGCCTGCTTGGGAGTCTCTCGCTGCCCCTTCCCCCTGCCTCTCTCTCAAAAATAAATAAATAAAAATAAATAAGGTGAATCCAGTACGATAATTTCGGTGAGAGCTTAACAACTGATGGCAGAAAATATTCATGTCTTTTAAAGGCTTTTAATTTTAAGTAATAGGAATCTTAAGAAGTATACTGATGAGGAATGTATTTTTAGTAAAGGGAAATTTTCTTGCAGACCTTCAGCTCCATGCAGATCACGGCCTTCTACTGTGGCCTTTAAACGGCCAGCCCTCCTGTTCTCCACTGCATGTGGGAGATGCC